CCGTCACGGACGTGTCACTGCTGTCGGTGAGTGGGTAGACGTGGGAATTTTGGAAAAATAATCACACTGTAAAGAGTGAAGTGAACCCGGTCGCTCGGGTTTGTGCTCATTGTGGAATAACAGCATTCGGTCGACTCTCTGGGAAGGATCGAGAAAACGTCACACTGTCCCCGAGTTCATGTGCTTCTTACTTGGATAAAACACCGTCCACTTGTTTTTCTTCACCTCAGAGAAATGTTGACAGTTTTTATTGATAAATGATTTGAAAAACTGATTGTTATATTATTAATATATATATTAATTATATATTATTAATATTGTATTCTGTCAACAGGTTGTTTAGCCAATACAGCATTGCATGACCTCATGCACATGCAGTCCAAAACATTTCTGAATTTAGTGTCATTTGTATTCTGATTTTTATTTTATTTTATTGAATGATATCTATGATTTTTAGATGATAACAGAGCAATACCCCTTACAACAATGTACTAGATACTACTCTAGTTAGAGAAAGCACAGTGTTTAACATGTTTTGTCTGTGTCTGTGTGTGTGTGTCTGTTGTTCGGCAGCTTCCACACATGCCTCACATCAGTGAGTGTCTAATGAAAAGAAGCCTGAAGCCCACCGACTTGAGGGACATGACGCTGGGGCAGCTCCAGGTTATAGTCAATGACCTGCACTCCCAGATTGAGAGTGAGTTTCCCTCCGACGCGCACACAGTACAGCACCTACACACAAGCACAGCCTGACCGCCGCTATTTTCAACTGCAGAATTGAGCAAGAGAGCGAATGGGGAAAAATATGCACACGCATACTGACCCATGATCAGTTCAGAGAGCCGTGCCAGTTAACAGCTTCCCCCGAGCATTTACTGTCACCACGCTGTACACACCGTTGATCCTGCTTCTCAGCGATGAATAAGCTCTCGCCTGAAATTAGAACAGCTCCAAAAATCCCCATGAGTCCAAAATCATGACTTTTCAAGTGACTGTTACAAAACCGACTTTCCCCTCATATCTCTTGTCCCTGCTTATTGTTTTCTATCACGGCTGAAGGGACAATAGCTAAAACATGTGATCTGACAACAGCCACAACCACTGATGTCTGACTGTCGTTGCTTTAAATGTTTTTGATTAAATTTCTGAGGTAATTTGATGATCCCATGATAGGAGATTTCCAACAGCTGCATACTCAGCTGCATATTGTATATTTAATTTCCGTCTATTTATAAGGGGGGCAATTGAATATATGTAATGGTCGACTGTGGTCACTGATATTTAAAGCATTTCCTCATTGTATATATGATGTGTACATGTTTGTGGTTTGTCATAAAGATAAGCCTGACTTGATTTACTTTTATAACTCCTTATGTTTATCTACATCTCCAGGTCTGAATGAGGAGCTTGTACAGTTGCTGCTGATTAGGGATGAACTACACATGGAGCAAGATGCCATGCTGGTTGACATAGAGGACCTCACCAGGTGATGACGCACTTAATGACAAACTCCTTTCCTGGGTTTACCACGATATTTTTGTTTATTCACATGGTGTATGACAGAGAGAGAAACAAATTAATTTAAAGATTAGAAAGAAATAGTCTATATGTTTGTCACTGCATGGAAGCCTCGTGAGGAAATAAGGAACCAACGATTCTAGCGCTTTCTGTTTCTCTGATTCGGTCTTTGGCTCTCGGCCTCAAGCCTATTGTTCCTACTGGAGACGAAATATCCAAACATAAGTAACAAACCTGTAGTTTGTTTTACACTGTTGTTTTAAAGAGTACTCCACCGGTTTAGCATTGCACTCTTATTAAGTTGAACCTGGTGTATCCAGAAGTCTGAGATTGTCTGAGTCATGCTAGTAGCGGCTAACGTTACCTTGAACCGCTAACGGACAGAGAAGTGGGCTCCTGAGAGCTCACCTCTTTCCCCAGAACCCCACATTATTCATGTTTTTCTTCAAGTACTTCCAGTATTTAAACCTTAGTCGATGCTGACTCGAGTAACATTACCTCGCGCTGTTTATCGGAGAAACAGAACATATAGTTTACAACAGTGTCGCTGTTTCATGTGTTTTGTTTTATAGTGAAAGGTTGAATAGTTGGTATATGCTTTCTCTTTTCCTTTAGGACCATGTGAAATGTTGCGGTTACCTTGCTATCCATGACGCGCTATCTCACCTGGCTTGTCATTTTCTGGGTTATGCAATTGCCTCCTGTTGATTGTTTGTACTGAACAGGTGTGGCAAAACCTGTTTTGTTTGTTTGGGGAATTTCTGTACTCGAGTCCTGCAACAGTCAAAACATATTTGCTCACTACAACGAGGTTGAGTTCCCCCTTTTCGTTTTTTAAGAAAACGTTGCAGTGCCTTTCATCTTGATGGTTTTCTTCCAAGAGCAACAGACAGGTTTAGATTCTTGTTGAGGAGCAACCATTTATCTTCTCTGCACTGGTGTTTATTCGTTGTTGATTTTGAGCTTTCCTAAAAGCTTGTTAGACTGCAAGGAAAGTGTCCCTCCACTTATGTTCCTTTCCTCTTTTGCAGGCATGCTGAGAGCCAGCAGAAACATTTGGCCGAGAGGACCCTATCCAAATAAGATGTACCCCCTCCGCCCAGCTAAGCTCCCGCTCCCAACCAGACCTCCTCCCCCCTCCCCCCCGGGCCATTCCACCTCTGCCCCAGCGTCCATCCAAATCCTGCCCGCTTGTCCCGAGTATTTTGCCCCCTGCTGCTTCCCCGTCTCCCCGTGTCCACCTTCCTGTCCACCCCACTGACTCCAGTGCGGAGCAGCAGCACAGGAGAAGGTCACCCTCTTTCGTTTGCTTCTGTGGTTTTCTCCCGGCGCTGAGGACGGATGTGCACTTCCTGCTTCCTGGGAGAAGAGGAAATTGATCGTGTGTTGTCATGGGTTCTGTCCCCAGCTTCATGTGCAGTGATTGGCCTTGCTTTGCTATTGTTTCTTTTAAAATTTCTACATTCGCCACTAAATTATAACTGTCAAATACAAAAATTGTGGGGAAAAAAATGAAATAATAGTGAAAAATTTAGTAGAAAGTCAGCTGTGAGAAAAAGAAACAACGCTGTATAAAAAAAAAAGAAAATTAAAAAACAGATGGAAACTAACTTCTTCAGACCATTTTAAGTTGGACAGTAATTTTCAAGTACTTCAAAGTAAACCTGTTTTTATTCTGCACAAATGGTAGTTTTCAACTGAGAAATGTTTATTTGAAGGTGCTAAAAGAGTGTAAAGGAAACATGCCTGCCTTGTAGTGGAGTCGTAGCTTTTGGTAATACGTTCACTCTAATTGCTCTTCAACATTTTGTGAATGTTGATTTTCTGACACGAGTCATTTTAAATGAGTAAGTGTGTTAAACTCGTTTTCATTCTACTGTAATCCAAAATTTTATTTGAGGGAAGAAATGTTTATGTACAGATATGTAAAATAAAGAATAAACTTTGTTTCATATACGTTGGTTTGGTGTGGAGTAAGTTCATTTCATCATGGTGGATGTTGCTGCCAGTTAACTCCGTCCATTTGCTCGCATAAAAGAACTTCCTCTTTCTAATAAACATATAGTGCAATCGGTGGTCGCAACTGCAGCGGGAAAATAAAGTGCCACCACATTACACTTAGCGTGACTCATCTCCCTCTGTTTCGACCCGGCCTTACGTTGACATGTTTGTCTCTCACTCTCACCACAGTAGTTTTGGTTTTTTTTAACTGCTCTTGAAGGGACTCCTCATTAACTTGGACAACCCCTATATAGTAATAATTTTGATGAAAGTAAGTAATTTTCCTTCACATGATGAATGAAAACTTGACTTAGAAATATATGATGAATGGTCAGCTGTGTTTCACATAAATGTGACACCAATGATGATGGAAGGTTTAGTAATGAATACAACGTTATTTTAAATGTATAATACGATAAATGTTTTTCTGGGAAAGTCCCGCCTCTCTGCCGGTGGGTCATGATCCTAATCTGTATTTAAGTCATTTTCACTCTTTGGTGGTCCAATGGTAATGCAAGTGAAAGGACAGGAAACTCCTGTCAGCCTTCGATGAGAACTCCATTTCCCCTCACTCAACGTGTTAAACACAGCAGGTGGATCTCACGTCCGGGAACAATGGATTCCTCCCCTTGGAAACGGAAGTCGCCCCATAATATGTGGTTTTCAATCACATTCATTCCGATCTTCATTCTCTGACCGTCTGATAAACTAATGAAAGAGAAATAAAAAAAAGTGTGTTAGCTTTTTGAGAGAAGTCACTTTTTAACCAAATGAACCGTCTTATATCAAAATCTTCTGTGAGTAAAAAAAATGAGTAAGGGGTCAACACACATTATTGGGGGGTTGTTGTGAAAAAAAAAATCCATGGGTTAATAATGTAATGTAAGTCGCTTTGGATAAAAGCGTCAGCTGAATGACCTGATCTGGTCCAATTTATCCTGTGATTAATGCGTTATAACAAGAGTAAGAAAGACCTTTCCCCCATTAGCTGCCACCATTCTCTATTTTTCTTAATGTAACATCTGGTTGTATTTCTTTTGGAACTCAGCCCATGAAGGGCATGCCAGATGCCACGTGTACCAGATGACGATGGACCTGATCAATGTCGGTATACCTGCCATTCTGCACACAATCCTACTTGTTGCAGTCAACTCAAATCTATTTATTTCATTTATTACTTTCGTGTAGTTGCAAAACAAGATGACCTCAGTAGTTAGTAGGCATTGGCCTGCATTTAAACCCCGTGAACCGTCATGTATCCTTATTGGAACTGTTGCAAAACGCAGTTTGAGTTTACTTTTCCCCCCCTCGTAGTTGGTTTCTTTAGATCTGAGACAAACAAAGCGACTTCCCGTTTCACCGCGACTAACATGCGCTGGCGGATCAACAACGAGGAAATCACAGATGACGCGTTTTAGTTTTGTTTTGGCATGCGCTCATGCAGGACATCCAAGGGAATGCCCCCCATCCTCCTTCCAATACATATAAATACAGTGAGATATAAGAAGCCAGCTACACTTTGCTCCTTATCAACCAGGCTCGATCGGAGATATTTATCCAAACCGAAAGATGACAGGATCTCATTTCTGTAAGTGCACCACATTGGATTTTTTTTCCTGTTGTCATGACACTGGCGCAAACCTATAAGACTCATGTGCTGAAGGCGCTTTTTTTGTCCCGTCTTGCAGACTTCGCCAGTTGTGTGCTGCTGCTGACCCTGAGCTGGCGCACATCTAGCGGACTCCCGCTGAGCGCACGGGGCGCGCAGGAGTGCGGAGACTGCGCTCTGCTCCTCAGGGAACTCCTGCAGAGTATCCCGAAGCTTCTCAGCAGCGTTAGTCCTGTTTTATTTCAGTATTTTTCTGGCTTTTGTGTGCTCTGCCGCACACCTCTGTATTGATAATGACACCCCCCCCCCCCTCCTTTTTTTTATTACAGGATGTTTTGTTTTATGGCATCAATCTCAATCGATCCGATTGGCTTAAAATGCCGGTTAGGGAAGATGAGACGACACTGGCCTGCGCCCCCACTTTGACTCAGGTGACAGTTGATGGTTTTTCAGTTAAAAAATATACTATCATAATTACAAAACTTTGAATAATCTTTATTTTTGTGTTATAAAAAAATCCAATGATTCTTTTCTGCATATTTAAATTTAAATTTAGTTCATGTTGTGTACTAAGTTCATACAATCAAGCATATGGTCCAAAGATGTTCATGGGGACCTGACTTGACCTGGGAAACAAATCGCTCGTTTAAAAAATGTGTTGGATCTCACAGGGCTCAAGCTGCACGATGCAAAGAAATTCATCTTTCAGTGAGGTACGAAATTCCTTTTAAAATGTTTTTCTGACAATTATAAGACAAACCCGTTTCACAAATGCGTTAATAATAATAATCTACGTACTAGTGTGCACATCAGAAGAGTTTACATTCTACACCCGTCTTATCCCTTAATCTTCCATTAACATTATAAAGCAGACGGATGATTGATTGTTCTTGTTGGACTTTACAGAGCGAATGTCTGAGCAACATCGGAAAGGACTTGGCATTTTATGCTGCTGCCCTGAAGTCCTACCGCAAATTACAGCTCAGGAAACAAGAGGAAGAAGTTTCACTTCTTAGCCCGACTCTGGAAATAATACAGTGCCTGTGGGAGGTGTGTTTATAGTGCATGTGTGAGGGGGGGCAGAAATAGTGAAAGAAAGTCTTCTGGTAAATAACGAAATCTTCCTTGTTTTGTACAGACCTGCCCACTGATGCAGAATGGAGAGAACTACTTCTCAGAGGTATTTCTTATTTCTTGTTTACTATTTACTCTCTTAGTCTTTACTTTTCGGGAGTATTCACGTTGTTGCCCTCTTCTGTTGTTTTTCGAAGGAGGCTGCCCGGTTGTGGGAAAGGAACCCCTTCAGTGACAGGCTGCAGATGCATAAGATAATGTTGGGCTTCTATGTCCGAACCATCACCATCAACCGTGCAATGGGTTACATCGCCTCAGGAGACCACAGGAAGTAAACAACCTGCAACCTGATAACCGCCATCCCCATCGTTCCAACCACAATGTCTCCACTTCATTTATCACAACTGCAGGAGCCTTTCTAGTTATTTGCTGACCAAGTATATTGCTGTACACTGCACATGCTGCAGAACACTATTTATTTGAGATTTATTTATTACATTTATTTATTTATTTATTCATTTGAAGTGCCTATATTGTGTTATTTATTGGTATTTGTAATGAAGTATTTTTTTAGTATGAAGTGCTGAAGTGGAAGTGATATTTGTATGGAACTGGGTGCAAATGAAAATGGAACATAAATTAAGTACAAAGACACTTGCTCTTGTTTTTTTAAGAGTTAACAGTTGCTTAATTACACAATTCTTTGACGAGACACTGGAAACAATAGCAAAGAAATGCAGGCCGGATATTTGGTGGCAACTGCTCAAAGCGGGCGTAACTTTCCTTCCCTTTCACCTGTCAAAAGATTGAAGACACAAAGCTTCCAGCTGTTCAAACAACATTCAAACTGAAGGAAAGTACTCAACATTTGCTGTGAGTGTAGCCGCTGAGCCCATGTTCCATGTTTTAAGTATCATCATTAACCAATTCATGGCTTACATCTCCTCAGGAGACCACAGGGAGTAAACCTGCTGCAACCTTATTATATAATAATATATTATATATAATATATATATATATATATAACAAAAAACACCATATTTCCATTTTATTTCATCACAACTCAAAAGGTTTTATTCAGTCAACGTTTGCTTATTACAATTATTCCACAATTCCTTGTAGAGACTCACACATGATAGAAATAACTGATTTTTGGTGGTAAGTTGTTTGAGGGAAGAAACCCTCTTCTCTAAATGTAAACATTACCGCTTCATATCGGCACGGAAGACAGAGATGTCTAGAATCAGTGTCACACGAAAATGTGTTAAATGTTTGCAAATGCATCAGAGTTTTTTGTGTGAAATAAACCTTAAAAACATGAAAAAAAAAAGAATAGAACACAGGTAGAAAAGTTCAACTCAAACCTGCATCCAAATGCTGGCAAAATGTTTGTATACAACATTTATAGTAAAACAAGTTGTGTGTTTGTGTCACTGGGCGGAAGTCAATCAAAATGCAAGTTAAGATGAACATAATTAAGGACCTCTAGCAACTCCTTTAGCTTCCGAGTTGTCAAAAAAAACAGACTTTACAACAAAATAGATCACAGGTTTTAAATACTTGATATGTACAGGTCAAATATAAAAAAGGTAGAAAATAGCTTCACGCGTTGGACAGTCATGTGAACAAATGCGCATGAAGTCCCACAAACACAAGTTTTAAAAATAAACTATTAGATGCACCGGTAGGATTTTTTTCCCCATTATTTTGCAGTTTAAACACTGCATCACCTACATTTACATATGCTACTGGCTATATAATAAGCTACCAAAAAAATGCAATGACCTATCTCTTTTGGTCACTTTTTGTCCTCAACAATGCTACGCATCACATGCTGGCTAAGAAAGGGAAGCTTTAGGTGCAGCTTTTCTATTCTGTATTCATTACAGAATTTAAGGACTACATTTTCTACAAAATAAGGGGACAGCTAACTGTTCCTCTGTCCCATCCATCAGTTCCATTTAGAGCAAATGTTCAACAGAGAAACACAAACTAGGATGAGCTAATGTCGGTTCATATCCACCCTCAGCTTTGTTGTATTCCTGAGGTTTTATTTTTCTTCACATCACACAGTCTGTTTAAAGCAAACCTTTCACTTGGCTTCTGGATTGTCAATCATGTCTGAAAACACAAAAACACACAATTAAGAGTTATGAAAGAGGTTGGGTCTAAAGAGCAAATGGAGAGGAAAACAGGAACTAATGATCAACAACTCCTTGCTGAGTGCAATGCTGACTTCCAACAACAATTAATTGTCAATACCACAAGTATTCAGTGTACTATACATGGGGAAGGAAGCATTGTTTTTACAGAAAATGGTTTTAAAAGAGTACAGCAATGTATTGCAATATTGTATCCTGCCGAATACATCATATTGTGAAACGTGTATCGTGATAAGTGCCGTGTCCTGCAGATATTTTACCTTTAAGTGTTTGATGAAACTCATTTGACAATTCATCCAGGTTCTCCACACTTTTCCACAGGTGGTAAGCCGTGGCCTCTCCCGGCTGCCGTTTGTCCTTCCACCTCACCAGCATCTTGTACTTCTGCCAGGTCGTATCCGACTCCGCTTCCTTGATGTCGTCCACCTCCTTGGATGTCAAGTCTATAAAGATGCCCACTTGCTTCCACTCTTTCCCGAGCTGCCTGGCCAGCTGCAGAAGCTGCTTTTCCGTCATGTCCTGGGCCCAAGTCCTTCCTGTTGTCACTGCATCTAGAAAAAGACACACAATACAGTATAAACAGGTGCTTTATTTCAGAATCATTTTTGTATCTGGAAAATAGATGGGAGGGGGGCAGGTTTCTTCTGACTTGTTCTTCTCAAGTCAGTAGTTAATAAAATACTAGAAAGATTACCAGACTCGTCCTGCCACCGAGTCCTTTTAGGGTCTCTCTCTTCCTCTGAGCTGCTTTTCCTCTTTCTGCCTATGAGACAGATATATATGTGAAAGCTGAAGGCGTGTTGGGACAAAATATCAAATCTAAGAACAAGAAAAATGGAAAACTTACTGTCAGGCCTCTTCCTTTCTTCCTTCTTTTCGGTTTTAATCACACAGTCTTCTAGAAGTTTTGAGTAGAAAGACAAAGATCAGAGTAGAAACCAAATTGCACTCATGGACACAAGCTCTACAACACAAAAACATGTGGAGTGACTTTTAGTTTCCCCGTTTTCATCAGCTGTGTTAGAAACAGTCAAATGAAAAAAGCTAATTAAACTTAAAAAAAATCAATTCATAGGTTCTTTTTTCACTACCTAATCAAGAAACATGTTCCGTGGAGGACTAAATGCACCGGTACCTTCTCTGATGGTGCTGGACCATACAGTCGTCTCAGTTTTGACCTCTATAAGAGACAACTTGAATGGTGGAGGCTCCTCAAAGAAAGCTTCAAAGAAGCCTTTCAACTTGGTCACTGCAAAGGTGAATTTCAAATCCTGCACAGAGACAAATCAATATGTAAATATAAATATATATATATATATGTAACTAAAGTTCCCAGGGAGAACTTTTAACTGGTTATGAGAGTCTAAATGTAATAACGATGCATCTGCATGACTCACATTTGTGATTTTAGGCTATGGAAAATACATTTAATTGATTTTCTGTCCTTCTACTGAGATAGTTTAATTATTTTAGAAGATAAATAATTTGACTGTTATTTACATTTTATAGAGATGTTGCAATCAAACTGTGATCATGAAATGTTTTGGCCTTGACAGCGACACACACACACACACACCTGAGGTTTGATCTCTCCCTCTGGCTCGCTCAGAAGACGATACGTTCCCTCATCCAGTATACATTGGGGAGGCTTCACTATCCGCTCGCAGCGATTCCGGTGTCCACGCACTTGTTTGCGAATATCCTGGTTTACATAATGATGAAAGGAAGAAATAGTCAGTGGAAAAACGGAAGCTGCTCAGGAGAAAAAGAGACTCACGGTTCGGTCCGGCTGTAGAGTTATGGAAAAATGCATCCGATCTGAACACCTATGACTCATGATGCACTAAGTATGTTTACCAGCTGCAACCTCCCACGCACAATCCCACTTCCTGAGTAACCTCCAGAATTTGGTGCCTAAGTGTTATAAAGTTGTATATGGAAAAATAAGTGAAAGTTCAGTTTTGCCCTGACAATGTCCTCATATTTTTTATTCTCAAGTTTTATCTATTGAGCAGTTGTCATGATTCAAAGGGACGATGGAGGCTCAGATAATGGTTTCATGAATGGAACATTTCTGTGTGTTTCTTTGCTCTCGCACATCAAGAACAAAAATTAGAACATAAATGTAAGTCACAAAAAGGTTGTTTTTCTGACAAGCAAAAGTTTGCTCACCGTCTTAAGATGGCATCTTTAACAGGTTTGTCAGTCAGCAATAATTGTTTAATTAAATTTTGCATATCCTTTATAAAACCCTCCTCTTGGGTCCTGGACAAAATATAACCATTTACATTTAATATTACTAGTATCCTGCAGAGTCTGTCTTAACGCTAGCTAAGCTTAATTCAGTATTGTTTTGAATATGGAGAGAAAACTATAACCCTAAAACGGTAAACTTGATACTTTATGATCATCAATGACAATTGAAATAGTGAGCTGTAATTCGATGTTAAACATTTTACAGACATAAAAAGGACAATCATCTCCTCTAGGGAAGAGACTCATTCCGCTAACCTGGATCTCAGATGAGCTGTTGGGAGCCAGGTAGATGTGGAATGTGTTGTTGCTGCTGTTGTTGTTGTTGCCGCTGTTACTGGACAGCCAGTAAACCAGGACCACGCCGTGGCGCTCTACAGACTGGCTAATGGGAATGATGGGACCCACGGGCGAAAGGGACGTCACATTCCACTTAACGTGGCTCCCCGAGTGGTCTACCGTCGGCTCGATGAGTGGACGGTTGTCCTTCATGTGCAGGACGCTGAATGACGTCTCGTTTTCTGAATCTGCGTGTCGACAACGAGGAAAAAGAAGATTTCATCTTCCACCTGAAGCAGCTTTAAATTATTGATAAAACTAATTTGGACAAAGGCTTAAGACGGTTCATAATTAATTGAGAACTGCACCTTTACCTTCAACACTAACTACTAACGTTTTTAAGAAATATTGATGTTAAGATTTTCTTGAGGGCCACGGATTCACCACAGGAGGTGGAGACCGTAATGACCAATTATCTAATTATTCTTATTAAAGAGACATGCAGGACACATGCAGGAGCGCGACAGCCCCGATATTCATTCTCACCGCTAATGCAGATGGAGTGAGGGAACTGAATGGACGTGAGGACAGAAGCGCCCTTATTGACCGTGTCCACGTTAAAGATGGGTCCAGCAAATCTCCAGGAGTCCCCGAGGAAGTTACTGAACTTAGACCAGGATAAGACAGAGTAGCGCACTAGCACGCGCTCCGATGCTTCAAACACCAGACCGGTGGCGGAGCACTGGTATGTGACCTCCCCTTCCAGCTGCACCCTAACAAGCAAGCAGAGGCAGTGATGATGTGCGTATACAATCAATATGACCCGATCAGAGTCGGAGATCACACTGTGGTACTCACTGAAATCGGCCCTTAGAGATCCTCCTGGGGGTAACGACTTCATTGCCGCAGCCCTGTGAAGAAAAAAAAAAAAAAAACTCATGACATCACGGGAAATAAAAATCGAGCAAAGTAAAAATGTGATCAAGTATGATTATTCATAATTAGGTTTCTGAGCTCACCTGCTGGATGGCTTTGCATTTTTCACAGCAAAATTTGAAGAGCATCTCATCTGTCAGGACATATGCAAATAAAACTTATATATTCATATTTACAGGAGATGTGACACAATCTACAGAACATTCGCTGTTCTACCACATCAGCTATGATCCACTTACCCGTACCATTTAAAAGATCGGGTTCGGGTCCAGGGACCAAATCTAGAGGGAGAAATAATAACAAAGTCCAAATTCATGGTGTGAAAAATCAAAACGGGAAGCTTGTGTTTAACCTCCGGCAGACACTCTTTCTTGAGCCCTGGCGTGTTCATTTGTATGTTTCATGGTTGTATGAAGGAGACCAGCTGCTTTGTCTGAAGGAAGATATTAAATGTCGCACCATTTTTAGACTCTGCATCATCCTCTTCATTTTCTGCAAAGAACATAAAAGGACATCAGATTGATCCCCACCCACTCTACACCGTGTCAAATGTTTGGGTGACTGTCAAGAATTCAATTCATTTTATTTGTGTAGCCCAAATTTAAAAAGGACAAATTTGCCTCGGAGGGCTTTACGGCGTACAGTCTGATTATAGAAGGTCTGTTCTTACCTTCCTCTCCTCCATCTTCCTGAGCACAGCCTTGTGGTAATACGGGAGAGAAGGGTGACAAACAGAAATTAAAGCAGTACGTCACGGAGTTGAGCAAGTAAATATTGATCAAATATTCATGAAGACTACATGCATGCATATTTCCATGACTTGGGGGTATAGTCACATGCACACGTAAACAATGGAACAGATGTCAAATTATTGTAATGTACGCAATACATCTGAACCATTTTATTAACAGTGGTTTCTTCCGATTGTCCCTGACAAAAAAAAACAAAAAACTAATGCATTAAAGAAATTATTCTACATTTTGAAAAATATGCTCATTTACTTTCTTGCTGAGATGGATGTGAAGACCACTAACGTCTTCTAAGTAGCCGTTTCTTTACTACTAAAATAACCCAAATTCCTCCTGGCTGTATATATATTGAACACACAGACATGAGAGGGACATAAGTTAATAAGCCAGGCTCATAAAAATGAACTATTCCTCTAAAATGAGTTCTCTCACCAGCGTCCCCATCCTCCTCTTCATCTTCCTCCTCTGAGCTCTCCTCAGTGGACGTCCCAGTGTTTTCTGTTTGATGAATCAATATGTAAAGGACATGACACAGAACAATTCGTATATAAAAATATTGAATAAATAAACTAGGTTTTCCGCGGTTGTACATCATTTTGTAATAGGTGTGGAAAAATAATAATAATTTAACTGTATATTCGTGCTTACCTGAGCTGCTGCCGTCACTTTCTATCAGGTTATCTGCAACAGATTAGTAATTGTTTTGAGCTTAGATCAGTTTGGTATGAAGAAGTTGAAAATGTGAGGAAATGTCGTGTCTCATCTTATTAGTTATTACTATTGCTATTATTTGACCACATTATCCTTATCTTTATGGGAACATCAACACTCTTAATGTTTTGAAGCATGACAAATATCATCATTCCGCCCGAGAAAATCTCCGGGTGCAGCAACTACTGCTAAACCCAACTAGCTGTTGCCAAACCCAACACTCAATATTCAACCTGTCCTTTCATAGAAGTAAATAATAATAGAACAGACATGGGTAGGTGGGAGAGTGAGCCTATTGTAAGTTACTTCTGTTTGTGCAGTGAACGTTTTTTGTAAACATTACTCATCAAAAAAATCCCTCTGCCTGTCTGACTCACACCTCCCGCCTTTACATCCCCATCATTGCTTAGCGGCTGAACACGCCTGTGGAAGGTGCCATGCATTAACATTCTGGCGCATTTATGCAGCCAGGTCCAGGGGAGCTGCTGCTCCTCCCAGCAGCGGTGGACGTCCGTGGCCGATCCGGCCATCTGGCTGAGTGCCTTGTGCTTGCTAATGGACGGAGCCCATCCTCTCTGGCCCACAGAGTTTTATCTCAGACTAACAAGCAGATGCTGCCGTCCCTTCTCCACTCACGACACCGCCCTCGTCTCTCGCCCGATCCGTCTGCTTCACCTCGGCCTGCCTGCTCTCTCCCGCCTCCACTTATCTCTGTCTCTCTCACCGTGTCCTCACATGCCCCCTATCTCTTTCTCTGCTGCTGATGCCGCCTCATCGGGCAGGCCTCCCTCTTCACTGTGGCATGGCCGCTGCCTTCATCAGACTGACAAACAAGGTGGAGATAAAACACCCGCCAGGATACACATGCATGTGCAAACACACACACACACACATTTGTTTACAGCCTCAAAGGCTTGGATAGTTTCATGAGTGTTGCCTGCCATCTGCTGGTCTAAACAAAAATAGCAAACACAGGGGCCTGAACCATTTGTGTATGATGTACTCGGTTAACCGTTTTGGGGAACGATGGCCGATCCACAATAAATACAGTTTCTAGGTTAACGTGTTTGTGAAGTTTGGGTTGAATTCATCGGGACACGGTGGACCCCCAACATATTTCTAAACATAAATCGCTTGGCTCATGTCGCCTTGGGTAAGAATGATGCGAATGAGTTTTACACAGGATGGTATAGAAACATTATCAGGAGAAGAAAAAGTCACATCATTGCAAAACTAATTATCGCCAATCTGTTATTACCAGGTCAACCGAAAGGGAGATTTGGTTCAATTGAATTTGACAATTATTTTAAAGGCCTGTAATAAAACCTTAATAAATGTGGTAACTCACTAGCAAAAGACAAGGTAAAACCAAACAGAAGTGTGTAAACCGGGGAAACCAGTGGCCATATGCATAAATGCTGCTGCTCTCGAAGGCAAATAATATTAAAATCACACAGGCCGAACTGGCAGACGAGAGAAAGACGGGGCGGGTTAAAGAGGAGAAGGACAGGGAAAGCAGTGACGAATAATAGATGGTGCTGCATGCCTTTTAAATATTAAAAAGAAGCCAGAGGACAGTCATAGTTGAATGGAAGCATGAAGCCCCGTGCATGACCCGAGATAGAGAAGAGTGCAAGGGAGGGAGGGAGGGAGGGAGGGAGGGATGTGGGGCGAGAGAGAGGACGGGAGGGAGGGAGAGAATGAAAACCGGTTGACGTTTACCTTTTTTTTCAAGTGCAGGGACGTCTCCCCTTCTGTGAGGGAAAGGAGATAACATTTAGACCATCACAATTACAGCCACGACAGGCGCATCTGGGTTTGTGTGATGACGACGGGAGGATTTGGAGGTTGGAAGCGCCTTGCAGACTCTCAAGCACACCGCTTCTGCTTTCTGACAGGAACACGGGCAGCCGAATGAATTTGAAAAACAGGAAATGTAAACCGACTGCCCGCGTTTCACTTTTTCACCAGCGGACACCAACACGTCCTGTTGAATCAATCGTTCCGCCCACATCGCAGGGCGGTGTAAATAATACAGAAAGCCAAGCACGGAAAAATACTTCTGCCGACGAGTAATACTGGTTTTAACTCTTTTTAAAGGGGGTTGGATGATCTGCATTGAATGCATTCCTTAATTTACTACCAGTTGTCATGGTTGTCATACTGTGATGATCACATGGTGGTCAATCATTCAAAACGAACAACGGCGAAAGCATTTATAGCGAAGCATTGTTTTCATTGCATGCAATTTTGGTTACATCTGGCCTTTCCGTTTACCAAAACCGTATCAATAACGTGACATCAAATGGTAAACGGACTTCTACCTGTGTAGATCTTTTCTAGTCCTACGACCTCTCAAAGAGATTTAACACTAGTTCCAACCACATCGCCCTCACAGCACACATCAGCACCAGTTTCCACTGAATATTTAGCTAATCTAAATCATTTGATAAAACCATGACCATCCAGTAAGGTTGTATATCAAACAAGTGAGGAGCAAAGTCCAAGTGCAATGGTTCCTTCGTCGTGCCTGCGCCAATTACTGTTGCAACCTGTTGAAGCGCTCTGAGTTTTAACAAGAGGCAACACGCCGGAGATCTGAGATCCACCGCTGGGGAAAAAACAGGAGTCCACCTCCAGAAGGCGAAATAAGCAGGTCCCCTCCAGCCGTGTGTGTTTACTCCATCGTCTGTAGAAATACAGAACTGGGGGATCATAAGTAAACGGAGGAGACATTATAGATTATTAACACTGACCAGGTTGTGGGCTGTTGTTCGTTGTCTGTTAGTCCTGATAAAGCACTGTGGTTTTCTTTGTTTTTTTAAAACATCTGTGCAGGAAAGACTGTTTTCTCCTCTTCAAGGTCAACTAGTTCTCTCTGCCAAATGTGACATGGAGGCACGTTAGTTTCCATGGTAACATCTAGTGCTCTGAAAAAAAGTGAGCATTTTCCTCATTGAAATTTAAAAAAACGGATACTTGGCTTCTGCGACTTTCTCCGCTCTCACTGGTTTCTGTCTTCCTCCCATAAAACATGTTAACAGAATCCTCTGAAAGGAGCGTCTGTCTGTATCTGGGTCCCATAAACACAATGAAAAGAGAGGGAATCTGTGTGTGACAAACAACCGCCAGTGGGCCCGCACGTAGGACAAAAAGACTCAATTCAGTTATCAAATTTGACACCTCACTGCTTTCAATATTATGTTTATAGTTTCTGAACAAAAAAACAACCGCAGTCCATATACTTGTCAAATAAAGTTTATTTTAAACTAAAATACTTGCAGGTCTCACATGGGCAATTTAGTTTCTTTTTTTCTCAAATCCATCAGGGTTGAATTACAAAGCACATAAACGCCTGCATGGCATTGTTTACGGGACTTGTCCTTCCTGTGCAGGCCAGTGACACCATGGCAACCACACAGTAGGATTTCAGTCACCCGAGAACAACGCGTCATCCCAGAACCTGCTCACATTACACACGATGTCGTTGTGATATTAAGCATATTATACAACTATTAAAGAGGTTCGCGGGAATACGATTTTAAATGTGACAGCGTGCAGTTGAAACACGTGCGTCTCGTGGATTTCTCAGTTAATCGACGTTTAATAAATGTAATGATAAGAATAATAATAATAATAAACGCGTCGTATCTGCATCTTTGTTCGTGGTCGACACGCTGCCGGCAGCAGGTTACGTCGTCGTCTCGCTGTGTGAGCGCCGTGCAGCGTGCAGCGTGGGGGGGACACGCACACACACACACACACACACACACACACACAAAGCGTCTCTGGTCGCTTCATCCCCGAGTCTAAAGTCACGTCCATCAATGCGTAACGAGGAGACGGCAACTGTACAGTTGTTTCTTTTGCACCAAATGCACGAAGACGCGAATGAACGCAGGCGAACACACCACTTCCTGTGTTGACTCGACGCGATGTGAGCGCTTTGTGTTGAACAAAACTGCACACGATACAACCGCCCCCCGCAACAAAAGACAGTCTGATAAGCAACCGCGAGTCTTACCCGTCCTCCGGGAGACACGCCGCTCCGCAGCTCTCCATCTTTGCCACCATCCTGTCCTGTGTGAGCGAAGCCCGTTAATGCTTTCGGTTCCTGCCCCCGCGGCTCGGCCCGCACGCACCTGGAAGGCAACGCGATCTCCTCATTGGCTGCCGGGCTTTTCCTCGCACACGTTGGCACAATGACGACTATTATCTAAAAAAAAACTGTTCGTTCACACGCACTGTCGCTTCGGTTGCATCGTTCCCGTCTTCGGCTAAACAAAGCTAAGCATGCTAGAAGTTTCTGAGAATCTCAAAGAGAAAACAGTCTTTTCCAGACTTAGATGTTTACGTGAATAAACGTGGGCGGGGCTACATCTTCCCGCCATTAACGCGGGCTTTGTGAGGGGATGATGATTGACAGCCGGGCTTTTACTTCCTTCCATCAGCTCTACCAAGAATAAAAATAGCTGATTTAGAGGTTCCAAGTAGTGGATATTTATTGATATATAAATTATTTATGTATATGTGGCCAAAATTAATAGAACACCTGTCCTGAAAATATTGACCTTTTTTGCAGCAGGTTGCTCTGAGCACAACAAATAGCAGATCAAGTCAGTTCTACTGTTTTTATCCACTTTTAACTTTAATATTTGGTATGTCCACCTTTTGCAGCAATTACAGCAGCACATCTAGTGTCAATATATTCCCTGAGAACTTCCACACTAATGTTGTCCCATGCCTTCTGCAACTCAAGCCAAACGCTTTCCTTTGAATGTACAATGGATCTGTCCAGTTTATTTCCCAACTCGTCCCAAATTTGCTTGATGGGGTTAAAGCCAGGACTTTGAGGGGGGATGTCCATAATTTTCAATGTTCAAGCAGATTCCTTCTGTCGCCGGTAGTTCCACATTCGGCCAATGTCTGGCCATGTTGTTCGAGAAATGATAGTGGGAGAATAGTTTTAGAATTCATATTTTAGACCCCACTCATAATCTTTCTTTCTCTTTTTGCATTAGACCTATACACACACTCAAAGGTTTGTGATTAAAGCACTTATATCCAGTAAAGACAAAAAAGGAAGATGGAAGGAAAAGGTTATTTTGTCAACTGAGGCATATTGTAAGTTGAGCAGCCTGAACATGGTGCAACTAGGTCACTTTAAGCGGGAAAACATGCACATCAAAGACCAGAGCAGTTGTATTACCCAGTGAAACCAGCAGATGTCACATCAGACAAAAAAATAAGTGAAGCTCAGTAGCAAAAAAAAAAAGAAACATGCCTCCCCAAAAATATCCTTGCACTGGAGGACAAATCCAAACCAGATCCCATGGCCTGTTTGACACAAGCACTGATCATTAAGTTGACACAGCTTTTAAATTGAAAGGAATCAAGGTGTGGCATAAAGGCACCGTCCATCATAAAGAGACAAAAAGGTAGAGAGAGCTTTCTGTGAGCATCTGAGATGTCCAGTGGGAGGAATGAGGGAAGGCTCAAGGGCTTTCATTTGATCCCCCACTCATTGATCTTTTCCTTTTCCCCTCACTCCATTCGCCCTTCCACCAATGGATATGTGGTTTGCAGCAGGGGGGCTATAGAGGTGCCACAGACTAACAGGAACCTTATCCAGGTCTCAGATTCTGAAGGGAGAGATTGAGAGAGCTCCTCGGTGCAAAAAGAGGCTGCAACATCAGGCTGAGGCGATGATACCCCGAATGCCTCAGGAAACTAGAGGAGAAGCAAGCGAGGTAGAGCAGAGGAGGGGGAATAGAAAAGGATATGTCGAAGGTCAGAAGGAGAGGAGAGATGACACGGCAGGAAATTACAACATTGGTCCAGGAAAGAAGGGAAGGAGTTGATCAAAAAATACATTTTTAGAGCTGATGGGGGCTTGAGACTTGAAACTTGGGCTTTATTTGGATTTGAGATGCAACATATTTGGGATCTTCTTCCTTGACGGCCTGATTAGATTAAGATTAGATTAGGATTAGGATTAGACTTGACCCGAGACAAAGAGTTTAGAAGACTTGACCTCAGTAAGTTTAACACAACTACATAGTAATTGCTGTGTGAGGCACCAGACTATAAAAATGACTTATTTGCTAATCACCAAGAACGTACTGACAAGGAGCACACGGATATCTTCAGCTTGGCAGGTATTTGGTCATTTACCAAGTATTGGACACATAAAATGTCTTCTGTGGATACAGTCAAAGTTAAGCAATCACCAAAGTAACAATTCGTATTATGGGATTTTCTGGAATAATTTCCATGACAAAAAGAGGAGACATTTTCCCCCCAAAACCCAACTGTGATTGTCATGTGGTTAAGCATTTGGATTCATCCACTGGGAGCCATGAATATATGTCAAATGTCATGCCAATCCAACCGGGAGACCACAGGGACCTTCTGTTGGCGCAAGTGGAAAAGTCACGGAAATATCCAAAGTCACTTGCTTACTTCTACAAAAATCCAATTTGGGCTCAGACTTTCCAGTCAACATCAAAGCTAAAGTGTACTTTAGAAAACGCTAAATAAAGGTATTTATCAAAAGAGACAACTGACATGATTTTTCCCCTACAGTTAAAACAGTCATTGTGTGTGTGTGTTATGACAGGGATTTTACTTTCTTTACCGGTCGACCAACCTGTTTGGAAACGATGATTTCACACACCCCGGAGGCTTAATATGAGCCCTGTGCACACTCAGTATCCATCACATAGACACACTGAAAATAACACACTGTAACACACGCGTACGGACGCTCAGGGATGCGGGAAGGAAACCCATAGCCTCCGTGCTCAAACATTCCCTTTACAACATGCAGGTATTCACACGGAAACTCGTACGAAAGGTGTCCTCTTACTCTGGAGATGAGGAGCTTCACGTCTTTTGAATTCCGATGACACTGTCACTGTCGTACGGTGTAACAAACGAGCTGCTGCCACCCCGCAGAAAGAGAGGTGAACACGGACAAAGAGCAACACCTTTGCATGGACAAAATGGGAGAGAGGCTCTGGAGATTGTCAAGTCATGAGAGATTTCAGAAGCAACCTCATCCAATCCCGTACAACCGCATAATGTATAATGCATGGACCCACTAGTTGGCAGTTCGATAAAATTCTCTCCTGCAATCAATAGGGATAAAGTCTCTATATGGAAGAACAAAAGTAGAGCAGTGTGGTTGCTATAGGAAACATAGTTTTGAATCAACAACGGAAGAATGTTTAGTAAAGTGTAAGTTGATTTTACAGCAGACAACAAGGACTCAAACACAAATGACTTTGGACTGAACTTTCTCCTAATTGCTTTTCCCTTAAATCGCATTTTCATTCTCAATTTTTTTTAAAATTTTTATTATTTTTCAGCAGTTCCCTCGGCCTGTGTTCTTTTCTCACTTGGGTTGAGATGTTTTATGAGTCCTTTGGGTATTTATTTTCACCTGACCCACATTGTTTGTTCTTCTGTTCTCTATTTTCAGTGTGCTATGATTTAGATGAGAAAATAAACCTAAGCCGCCCTCTGAGCGGTTTGACATTTTACCCTTTTGATGTGGATAACATTTCCTTAAAATATACACTCAAATTCTTTTGGGTATAGTGTCATCACCAGTTTGATTAAAAAAATAATGTGCAATCACACCCATAATAGCACAGTGGTTGAAAATGGTGCTTTGCGCTGAATGCTCACTTGAGCATAATGACAATTCATTAATATACTGACCCACATGCAATATTTGATTTGATTCATGGCATATTGTTTTATGTTTATAATGATCGACCTACTGGAGCGAACATAAAGTTGAAGGAGTGAAGCCTTACAATATAGTTGTTATATTTTAAATATCGAAATATTTTAAATACAGTTGTTATATCTCTTACGTGTAATTCTTTTGGTATGTATTCTTTGTGGGAAAAAAGTCAGAGTTAGAGCCAAAAACATGTGTGAATTGTGAGTTTCCCTAGATGTTAGGAACATCTGTCTGTTGTGTTCAACACCTACACAGTCTTAAGATCCGCTTTCATTGTTCCCCCTTTTACCAGAGGGGATTGACTGTAATTGTTGTGCACTTTCACTTAATAACATATTTCCTGTCTCTCGACATGAATGTAACTAGATGGCGAGCGAAACAAAGGAATCATTTAGGCAAAAAAGGGAATCAAAAATTAATATAGTGTCTGCATGGTTTCATAGGACCTTGGATGACAGTTCTGAGCTGACTGTCCCTGTCTTGCTTGGCATTGACCTTTGCCTTCCCATCTCTTACACAAAGCCTCTAACCCCCCCACACACTAGTGCTCTATTACACACATTGTTTCTGTAGATTGCATGGTGTGTTATGACCTCTTCCTTTGTTTTCCACCACTTTGTTGATTCCATATTGCAGAGCACACAGCCCTAAGGGGACGCCGTGCATTCAATGGCCACAGAAGAACTGGGATCTAATGTGGGAGTTTGATACGGGGGACGCGGCCGAAGGCCCGAGCCCTCCCACCGCCTACATTCGCAGTGACTCAGCGCAGTAGTGCGGAGGTGGGGGGTCAAAAATCCCCTGCCCTCCGCCTACACTCAAAACATGTGGGAATGGGGAAACGTTATCCTATATTTAACCTTAAGGTGTCTGTCTGGTGTGTGTGTGTGTGTGCGTGTGTGTGTGTTGGCCTCAGTAACCGAGTCATCGGCGGCTCGGTGTCGTTACCCTTAAAGAGGAAAAAGAGGTTGTCTTTTTGGGGCTTTTAGCAACCTAGGAAACGCTGTGTGTGTTCACACTCACCTCTCTCTGGTTTTTAGAGTGTGTACATAAGATAGAAGAATAAAAAGTGGTCACTGTGATAGTGTGCGCACATTGCGAATCAGCTACATCGTATTGCACAGTTTAACACGACAGAAAAGCGGCTCCTCTCCCAACAAAGAGTAAAGCCTGTTGATTAAGGGAACACAACAGAGTAGAATATTAAGATCTTAAGGGCTGGTGATGTCTGTGGCAAGTGTTCCCAAAACGTAAAGAGCCACTGGTTGACATGCAGCATATAAACGTACATCTTGGCTGGCAGCATGAAGTTCCCATTTAAACAAAAAGTCAAATCCCTCAGTGCCACATCCATCCAACCTGTGTAAGTGACTGCAGCGTATTAGGGCCTATAAGGCAGCGATATCCAGTTATTCACTAAGTCTAAAAGACCAGCTCAGCACAAATCTGCCAACTCAGTTCCCCTTGAGACGGAAAGGGGATTTTTACCCCTCTCTCTTCTGTTAAGGTTGTTGCCCTCTGAAAGGGGGGGTTTCTCCTCAAAGGGAGTCAGGATTTAGATTTCCCTCCGAGCCAAAAACTACATGCTGGGGGAACAAGCGGCATAAAGGCGAGAGGTAAACTCTTTCTTTCAAAACACATTTGCTAGATGTTTCCACATCCGCGCTCGCTCCGCTGAGGATGCAAAGCACAAGGTTTGCACCGTGTTTTACATTAGGTCTGCCCCGTGACATCACACGGGATCCCTCTCAAATGCAAATAGTCCGGGGACGCAGCAAAAAAGGGAAAAAAGACACAAACAAACTGAAACTAAAACATAGTATCAACATACTCTCAACACACACACACACACCAACGTGTACACTTGAAGCAGACGGAGCCAGCAGAGCGATAAGATTAGAGGAAGTACGTGGGTGTGAAATAGCTGCGGTGTGGGACTTTCTGAATTCACACAATCTCCACTGACTGCAGGCCCTGCTTTTTATTACAGTTCAAGCTGATGGGAAGACGAAGGCACCGATGAAACCCACACAAGTGTCCTTTGATTCTTGGAGCCGCACGGATACAGTTTTACACAAACGCACAAAGCGGACGCGCCAATAGCTGCGGATGAATCCCCCGTAGGCTGCAAATTCCAACACAACTGTGCTTAGACACACTTTCACAACAGAGCAGATGTACAGTACCAGTCGACGGTTTGGACACACTGTGAATGAATTGAATGAGAAAATCCAATCCGATTGTTTCCTTAAAGATGCTGCAGGGGCTGACGTTGGTTTAAGCGCACTGACCCCGAGGTTGTGACTTCTGCTTTGGTGCAGACAAACCAGGATTCGTCCCTGCGTCCATTAACACGGCACCGCTTGTTTCATTATTAATGGCGACGTGATAACCGTGACATTGACAGTTGGGCGGTGCGCACATCAACGTTCTCCGGCACGTGAAAATGAACGCTTGCCATTCATCAATGCGCGGGGCTAATGGACTCCATAAAAATGAATTATTAAGCAACAACACAAGAGACCGTTGTACCAGAACAATGGAAGCATACAGCAGAGCACATTAATCATTGCATTAATTGTTAGCCATACAAGGGGTTGCCTTCTTTAAATCATTTTGTCAATAAATGTAACATAAGCATAAACATAAGCAAAGTTGCCTTTTGTGTTGCAGATCAGCGATTACGTATTTAGTCGTCTCCAAATAGTACAATCGTATAATAATAATAATAATAATAACAGCATCATAGTAGAATCTGTACACAGTACGATGTGATGGCTAAAAGCTCCTTCTTTTCAATCACTCGCTCACGTAAGAACCGCTCTTTGTGTTGGGTTTCAGAGAATAAGGGAAAAAGAGGCAGAATGGATGGTTTAGAAAGAGGAGAAATGGAAAGAGTAAGGAAGACAAATAAGAGAACAATATACTGTGTATACAGTATATATGTATGTATATATGTGTGTGGTTAGATTTGGATGTGATTAAAAGGCCAAATGCTCTCAAGTTTATGCTGAGTATTTACCCACTTTCCAGGAACTTTCGGCTGTGATCAAAAATAGCAGCAGGTCAATAAGATTCTGCTATTGCTCAGCGGAATAGCAGAAGTGCTGGGAAAGCCCTCGAACCAAAGGAACTGAAAGGAGATTCTTCCAGAGCCACCGTCCACGGACTATTGATTGTGTATTTGTTTATTTGGTTAGAAAAGTGCCCCGAGATCATGTTTCCTTAATTGAGGCCGATTACAGAAAGAAATATGATGCTGCATGAATTAGGTTGCATGATGTTACCCTTCTTCTGAAATCCACGTCATTATGCTCCAGTAATTACATTTTGTGTATTGTGCATTAGGCCTGTGTTGAGGAAAGAACACTGACGACAAAGAGTAACGTGAAGACAGGAGGTGAAATGTTTCTGTAATTTGAAAGGATCTCCCTCAGATTTCACACCATGAGGATTTGACAAAAACATTTTATTTTTAAAACGTCTCCATTGTTCTGTTTTTATGTCATACTCAGCACCCTTTAAGATCCAATAGGGACACGAGGCAACCCACACCTCAAGTATACATTTTTTATGAGAGGGGTATTTATTAGGGACACTTCAGGGTCAAGGACGTGTAGGGATCCTTGAGTAGATTTACTCCAGTACTATGCACACACTTGACTTATTTGTAGCAAAAGAATACAGTGTAATATGGAAAATCATCCGAAAATAATATTAGGAACCGTTGCAGATTGAACTACCAACCAGTAGTACATTAAGCTTATAGCTCCACCTCAAACAACTGCAACAGTAAAATGCTACCTAAAAAAAGAACTATTTTTGTTCTTTCTACGTTTTCAATTTGCAGTGGATTTTGGTTTTACTCTAAGATGACATTCTTAGGACTGTGTGTGTTGTAATAAAGCAGTTATCTATTGCAGCATTGCGGCTTTTACTGTAAAAGGATCTCTAGGACTGGACGTGAAGATTCAGATTTGTTGTCACACCCCCACCCCTCCCCTACATGTACAGGTTTCCCAACAGAATATAAATAACGGGGCTCTACAGCAAACGTTGCATTTAAAGAGACACAGTAGGTGACATGCAGGTGGGGTTGAGACCCAGGACAGTTGAGGTGAGGTTGTGACCAAATGATTGGGGGACCGCAGCAGGATGCACTGATGTGAGGACTTTCCAGCTAATGGCTATAATGCCTTCATCTACTAATGATGTGAGATTATTCATGATTCTCACAACGACTCCCTTCTCATCGGTGATGTGGCTCCACTCCTCTCCGCCCGCGCTACAGCAGACAGGTCATCCTCCGCCAAGAGGCACCTGCGGTCAGCTGCGCCCTGCAGTGGCTGTGAGATGAGATCGGCCTACATCTGCACACAGCTGGAACCAAAAGAAGAAGAAAGAAAAACAAAGGCGGACCTGTAAACACCTGGACGGATAATTCAAATTGCACGACAGCGGGAACGCACGAACGAGCGACGCGACGCGCACTTTCCACCTAGGAGGGGAGGGAGGGGAGTGTGTGTGTGTGTGTGGGGGGGTTGGGGGAGATCCAGAAAATGATGTCCCGTGTGCCGGGCAGCGGCGGGACAGTGTACGGGACCACTGGCACCTTTTTGTCGGCGTGCCTGCTCTCCGCTTGTCAAGCCGTCCGGAACTGCGGGGAGGTCCAGTGCGGCGACGGCGACCACTGCTGCCCGCCCGCCGCGGCCGGGAACGGCAGCGCCGGCCCCGCGGTGCGCTGCTGCAAGCTGCCCATCCACGTATTCTTCGACAACGTGGGCTGGTTCACGCGGAAGCTGTCGGGCATCCTGATCCTGGGGCTGCTTTTCGCCATGGGCTACTTCATCCAGCGGATCATCTGCCCGCGGCCCCGCCGGAACCCGCGCCACGACGGCGGCAGCGAGGAGCCCTCCCTCTTCCGCGGGCACGCGTCGGCGTCCCAGGACTCCCTGCTGGACCGGTACCCGGAGTACAGCCTGGGGGGCTTCGCCTCTCCCAACCTGCCCGCTTACGAGGAGGTGAAGAATTTGCCCACGTACGAGGAGAGCATGCGGGAGATGCGCAGAGACCGGTCCGATGACAACTTGCTGTCCGGAAACGAGAGGGGTGGTCAGGGCAGGGCGAGAGCGGCCGCGCCGAGAGCCGGGGACCAGACGCGGGATGTCCTGGAGGGATCGGGAGCGCAACACGGCCCGCGGACATGTCGGAACTCGGTGTGATTGGGCGGGGGGGGCTATAATATGACAGAATTGGGCAATTCTTATTTGGATAGATTCGGGGTAATTATCTGGCAGAGGTATAAACCTGAAGTGCAATTATGATCCCGAATGTAAAGAATAAAGGATGAGGCTAAAAAAATGCATGTGTTTTGTAAGATTATAGAGGATTATTGGCTTTTTTTATGCAAATGGCCGCTTGGGTAAAGTAAAGGAGATTATGAAGGAAGCGAGGACGGCTGAAATCCACGCTCTTTATGATATGGACAGCTAATTTGGCTCCGGGACAATCGCATTAAATTTTACTTAAGCACCTCGATTTAAAGTGGCACCGTGAGACAGTTTTTCTTCTGTCAAATTATCGTCCTTTTCTTAGTCTTCTGCTGCAACTGGAAGACCTGCTTCTCTTCTATTTATTCCTTAATGCATTTGCATCCAAAAAGGAAGAATATATTTTTTTTCTCAGCAACCTGAAATGGGCTTAAAGAGGGAGGGGAGGGATGAATATCAATTGTAATACTTTCTGCAGCGCACATTTGTGCTTATCATTCCCCTTTTAGAGGCAGTTCATTTGACATCTTATCAGTATGAAGGCAGTATTTTGCAGTCACACATAGACACACATCAGTGGGGGCTGACAAATGTCTGGTGACCGGAGCCATTTCTGATAAAGCCAAATGGAATTATTAAATATTGGTATCCAGGGAGCCTTGCTGCCCAAGGCCACATGCATCAGTGACTCCAAATCCAGTACAAGCCATGGCAGATTTTACAGCTGGCATACTGATAAGCCCCAAACTGCCAGGTTACAAAGTCTCATCAGCGAGTCCCACAACATCACAACGGCTGCTGCAAGCAGAACTCACACACACACCTCTTTATACCAGGCTGAATGGCCTGTTTACCTGGATTAACGCTAAAGATGTAAATCGCTATGAATACTCCATTAAAATGTCTCATGTTACAAAAAAGCACATTCCTGGTTGTCATTTTACTTCGGCATTACCTGTGTGCGTGGTGAAAAGTCACGCTTGCCATCGCTCTCTCCAGCACAGACTTGAAGTAGCATCTCTATCATCCAACATGCAAATCATTGTCACATGTTAAAAATGTCCACCGTTGGTTCCCAGAGCCCAAGATGAGATTTTCAAATAATTTAATACCTGTGCCTCACCAAGTGTAAAGCACTCAGTGACCTTCACCTTATTAAATGAACTATCTGCAATAATAAAGACAAATGGATACTGTTCGATCAGGCATCAGCTTAAAAGGACCGTGATGAGCACAACCTGGTTCAGCTATCAGACTTTACAATTAGAGACCTTGAGCTCCTCTAATGCTCCTGACGGTAGACGTCTTAAGTTGTGATGGTGGTGGCTGCTGCAATCCAATACTACCAGACCATGATGGTGGGGCTTGTCCTTTCCACAGGGATATTTGCGGGTGGCTCATAAAAGCATTAAACGCATGCTCAAAACCCACTGATGGGTAGATGAGGTCGAGTGCGTGACCTTAGGATGCATGAAGTGATATTTAGAGTGCTACTAAAACCCTAAGCGGTGTGAATGCTGTGCTCCACTCTGTCCTTCATAGTCCTTGCAGTTTCGTTGTGGACAAGCTCTTACATGGAAGCTGGAGCAGCAGAGAGCTGAACCGGTCTCCAACAGTTCCCGGCATGAGACATTCATTACAGTACGGCGCAACATCCCCTCGCAAGGGGTCAGGAGCGCGATTTATTGTTCTGAAGTCCGCATTGCAAATCCAAATGGATGTGTGCAAACATACACACAGATGCACAAATACACACCACAAACACACACACACTCACTCACTCACAAACCACACCAGATTGTGCGTCAATGAGCCAGTTGTTTTATGGCTCGCTGGACCAAAGAATGGATCAACTGCAAAAGGTCAAATCAATGGCCATTATTCTCCTCATAAATTCTACATTATATTCTGGAAGCGTATTTTTAGGAGAGCTGTATTGTTTGGTCATAAATCCAATATGAGAACTTGCAAGTCATTGAATATCAAGCTCAGCGGTTCAATAAAAGCATCTATTTGGTATTTTGTGCAGCGTAAAAAAAAAAAATGAAATGCTATAGTCTGTAACAGATTCAAAAAGCGCTAAGATAAAGTGTAGAATATACAACACACACATCTAAGTACATGTTCTTTCATTACCAATGTGAAAAGAAATCCTACACACATTACTAAGATACGATACGCAATGCACAGTAAAAGAGAGAGTATGAACAGCGCACCCATTTCTATTATTTCTCTATATTCTTCAGGGTGTGTGGCCTCGCTCAGCGGTAATGCATGTGAAACCTGACTCCTGATAAAGTCTTTTCAGAGATTAATGGCGTCGGTCTAGCCAACTATGTTTTATCACACAGGGAGCGTGGGCTTGGAAGAAGGCGCATAGAGGGAGTAAAATAAAAGCAGAACGGTAAGCCAGGGAGAGATTTAGGCAACTAGCTAAAAGAAAAAGAAAAAAGTCTCCCATTTGATCTGATGTCTCATCTGAGGCCACTTACAGATCTCGCCCATCAATTTGTACCGTTTCTGTCCGCATCGTCTTGACGTAGCGGAGCAGTTGTTGATTCCCGAGACGGATATTCTCCCTCAATCGCCCCACCCGGGTCACTTGCCGAGAAAGATAGGATATAATGGTCCGCTGATGTACTGGCCCTCTGCCAGCCAGGGGGTGGAGCTGCATGGCAAGCATTTGGTTTCACACCTCAGCAGAAAAGGAAATACAAGAATAACTCAAAGCGAGGCACATATTGGACTCTGAAACACACATGCACCCAGAAAATACCTCTGGTGCAAGTGCAAAGCTGAAAAAACATGTCAAATACTCTGAACTTTGTATAAAACCAGTGAAGCATCACCACATTACATCAATAAAAAAAAGTCAGAAGTAACAGTAAGGTAGAAGCAAAAATTGTGGATGAATGTGCACAGTATTTTCCTTAGATTTATTAACTGACATAACTTTTAGTGTTTACACAAGGCACATTCTTAAATACATAAGATGTAAACATATCTATCCATACAAAAACACAAAAATAACCTTTTACGGAAAAAACAGAGCAATACAACTGAGTCTTTCAAGTCAATTTGGACAAATAGGAAACTATAATAATCAACTCAAAACTTGACGTACTCAAACCACTGACAACCCGACATGAGAGAAAGGCCAAACGTTGCTGAAAAATAGTAGTATTGATAGATACTCTTGCCACAGTCAAATAATCGACCCATAGTAACAGAACGCCATGTACAATGTTGTGCAAACGTTGAAAACGATTGATGTGTAAAACAAGTGTCATTTTCTCTATGGTCTACTTATCTTCAAATCTCCAAATGTTCCCTTTGGTTTTTACTTGAAGTCAATACACTTTCAACTAATGGTAGCTATTTTACCTTAAGTATGGACATTTTCACTACTTTGAGGCTGAGCCAAACCAAACCATGTTCACCAAATGTCAAGAACACGTGGGAATCACTTTCTGCGGAGAGCGGATGTTTCGTTAACGCCGGGAGGCCACGCTGCTTCTCACAGAGGTGTTCGCAGCTCTCTCCCTCTCTTTAGCCAACTCCATATCCATCTTCGCCTGGATTTTCTCCCAGTCAACCTCAACCTGGTAGAGAGACAGAAAAACTAGATGAAGTGAAATTGATAAAACGGGAATCACCTAAATGAGTCGTATTACTTTAGGCGAGTATTGCATTGGATGCTTGAAAAGTGCGACATGCACTAATGCGCTTCCCCTCCTGATCAGACTGAGGCGTTCCTATCAGAAATAATCACCGCAACAACACTGCTGCAAGATTAAACAACTGGCAGCAGACTTAGCAACAACAACTTTTTTAGGCTTTTTTACACTTTGGGTTTTGTCACGCAGCCTCTTCCGATTGGACACCAGAGAAAAGGCCTCAGCGACGAATGTTCATTTCCTCAACGCAATGCACTCGATAGTGTGAAAGCAGACCCCTGAAGAATAACGCTCCCGGTGTGACTGCCGCCTAAGTCAATGGACGTGCGGTGCTGCCCTAACTTACTCCTTCAGCGTACTGCAAGAATCTTTTATTCGTCTCCTTCCTGCCAAATTTCTGCAGGAACTTCCCTCTGTAGGCCAGCACAGTGTCCACATGCGTCTTGTGTTTAACTGCCAGCTCCAATGCCCTAGACACACAATGACAAGATGCAGATACACCATATTAACCAAAACCGGAACTCGCTCTCCAACCTCCTTCTGAAGCGAGGCTGTGTAGCACAATCCCTTTCCCTTTTCAGCTGTAACCTTGCACACCCATTCACACTAACTAAGATGTACCTCTCCCAGTTGAAAAGGTCAATGCTGATGCGTATGGCTTGGTAGATGAGACCAGCCTGTAACAGTGTGGCCTCAGCCTCCTGGATCTGACCGCTGAACATCAGCATGTGGGCCAAGGACGACTCCTTGGACGGCTGCTCCTTTATGAAGTTGATGTACTGCACCCTAGGTAACTAAAAGAGGAGAGGGAGAGAATTGTAACTGGGTCCAGTCAAAACCATTGTTACAGTTAAAGCAATGGCGCGTGTGTGTACTTGTGTGTGCTGGAATTCAATTGAGTTGGAGATTAACTAATGTTCTCACCTCCCCAATGGCGGCATAGGCCATCTCCGCTGTGGTCAGCTCCCTGTTTGCCATCGCCATACCAGCAAGACACGCCCACAAAGATTGGTCCTATAGGTGTGGGGAGCAGAGGTATGTTTAGATGACACTATCTCAGGTGGTTGAATGTGTTTTCACATTTACCATTTTATTACATTTAATTATGTACATATGAATACAATTACGATTTTATTTTTGTATTACACTACATTACAGGTCATTTAGCTGACGCTTTTACCCAAAGCGACTTACATTGCATTTTTAACCCATATTTTTTTTTACAAGAGCAATTAGGGGTCAGGTTGTCTTGCTCAGGGACACTTCGACATGGGACATGGAGATGCAAGGCTTCGAACCGCCAACCTTGCGGTTCCCGGCGCAGCCTCTCCACTCCATGCGGCAAAGTCGATTTTTAATGTCATCTCAATGCAGAAAGCGTTTCAGATCAAAAGTTCAACGGCACTCTGAGTGAACAGATAAACCTCTATTTGAATAGTACACAGGCCGCCTGCACTCCAAACTGTGCCTTCAGAATGTGTGATAGATGTGTGTGCACAGTGATAAGGGTGTGACGGTGTCTTTATAGACCTCATCACATCCTGCACATATACCGGCAGGCCACTAGGAAAACATGCATCACACACACACAAACAACCAGAAACATTTGCTGTACACAACATGAATAAGTGTAAAAAGAATGTGTCACCACTTTGTTCCACGCAGCTGCCTTCATTAAAACGAAGCCGTAACCACCAATTGAGCAAACATCTCACTCGAACCACCACTGCGGAATCTCCGATTTAATTGGTGTCCATCAGTAGGACCATGTTAGAAACAACAAATAACACCGCCGGAGATTACGCATTCCTTTTTTTGGGTATGACGCAAAACTATTTCCCGTGTCAACTTTGATTCTGTCAAGGCTTACTGACAATTACTGTAATTCTAGGAAAAGCCGTGCTGCCACCGAACTCTTACCAGAAGTAGAGGGGGGAGGGGTCGAGGAAAAAAACTCTTAAAACCGGTGCGTCTCTCTCCGTCCCTTTTGTCCCACCCTCTTCTTGCTACTAGCAGTCCATTTCTCCAGGGATGTGGTTATTGCATCATTGCCCAAATGAAGAAACAAACAAAACAGCATCCAGTGTGTGTGTGTGTGTGTGTGTGTGAGAGAGAAGAGTTTACGTTTCCATAGAGTGGAGTGTGTATTCACGAGTGAGGTTTTAGGGCGCTAAATCCGGTAAATGGTGTCACCAGGCTAATTGAAGGCTAATTAAAGCCTGCTGGTCTGGTCCCATAAACCTGTCTGCTGCTTTCTCGTTTCAGACCCCGTCTCGCTCGCCGTCCCACAGATGCATGCGATTGACACACACAACACAGGAACCAGCTGTATAGATGTCACACTATACCAAGATCAACTATATACATACAAAGTTTGAGTCAATGAGTAATAAGTACTTGACACTGTGATTTTTGTCCGGATATCCAACGACTGAATAATATTTCAGGGGGGTATAGAAAATACAAAGACCTAACTCCCGACAATGTCCTCACTGGCACACTCACCCACACAAATAGAGATTCGCCAGCTTCCTATCTTACCTTGGCGAAGCGACAGAGGCGCAGTGCGTCCTCCCAGCGTGCAGTGGTGCTGTATTCGTGCAGGAGGGCTGGGTAGGGAGGCACGCTGCTGTAAACCAGTGAACCGTCCCCTTGGCGTAACGTCACCTTGGTGCCCACATAGCCCAGAATGTGGGGTGCACGGCTGAACTCGCTTTGAAGAGAGAAAATACGTTCACACACACGCACGTAACACTCATAACAGTTTGAAAAAAAAAAAAAAAAAAAACTACCACCAAGTAACCACATGCTCAATGTTTTGCTGTCAGTGCAAAAATCAAAAAACAGCGAGCCATTAACCCTTGACACAGGTCGAGAGACAAGCAAAACTAGTCTGTGATCGGCGGTATAGAAAGTGTATTGCAGCTTCTGTGCTGAAGCTGAGGGTGAGGCCTTTTGGGCAGGAAGCATTTCACAATCTGACAGCAAAAAATAGAGCCTTAAGTGCCATGTGTTGCACCTCGGGAATGAGCTGGAATGCCCCTATTTTACGTATATTAGCTGTCCATGAATAAATAGTGTTAAAACTGGGAGACGATGACTGCAGTCTACCTGCCATCCTTTGTGAGCAGGGTTTTCGGCAGCAGTTCCTTGTCAGTGAAGACAACGCTCGGGTAGTACCACACTGTGAACAGGTTGTCTTGGATTCCACACAGGATGTTGGCAGCATCATTCCAAGCCACACTGTGGACCATGCTACCTGCACAACAGAGCACACACAATGATCACGTCCATCTGTGCGTATAAAAACAGAGCCAGTCAAACACATCTTCTCAAGAGAGCGCCCTCCTTGTCTCACCGATTTTGCAGATTTTGGGTTCCCGCCCAAGATGACGCACAGAGGTTATGTAGAGGTCACGGTTCTTGTCTATCAGGGCGATCTTCCTCTCAGTGGATGGGCCACACTTATCCAGAGCAACCTCTACCACCTCCAGCTAGATAGAGTAATATAGTAATTACCGTGATGCACAAAAACTAACCTATGCCATAGATAACTGGGTTGTATGTAATAGTGTAACCAGTCAAATGAGTCTCTCATTTGCATAATCAAATTAGTCTTTAAGCAACACACTAACAGCAACATGACACAACAACAGAACTGATCTAATTGGCGACAAATATTTGTCGCTTTGCCGCAGTGGCAAGTGTGTTGAGCTCATTGGTGCTGACACACATAAGGTCAATTTAGGGCAAAGGATTACCCACCTTGTGAGTCAGGGGCTTGCCGTCACCAAGGGGTTTCCCGGTCAGGGCGTCCAAGAGAAAGATGACTGGTGAAGAGAAACAAAAAGAGAACACTGCAGAAGCACAGTCCAATTTATTTTCATGATTAAACAGGTGACAGCAATCCCCTTACTTTTTTCATCACTCTTGTCTCGGATGGCGATGCTGTCATTACTAAGGGAGACACTCGTGGCATTTAGGATGTCAGCTCTCATACCAGGGAACTTGGGCGAGGAAATCAATCTTCCCTCGTAGGAGAACGTATACAACCCTGCTCCATCCACGAGCAGAAAATGTCTGGGTGGGGGAGACGGGACAGTACAGTAAATCAGAGTTACAATAACAGCAATATATCTATGACATTATCTGTGGCTGAGTGGGACGGCACAGAGGGGGAACAATACTAAATGTTAAAGAGAAGATGAATAAACACTCTTCAACAGTTATTCAATTGACACACGCAGGTCATTTAGAAAAGTAATGCACTGTAACACAACTCGGCAACTCATCAATCTCAAATGTGATTTCAGAATGGCCAATAACCTATTTAGCCTTATGTTGAGTGTCAGGGCCTCTGCACTTAAGTGTTGCACAAGAGCTACTCTGTATTAATACAATTTCCCCCAGTGGTTTCGCTCTCAGCCTTATTGTATGACGAGGCTGGCTAATCTAGAGCACAGACCCCCGTGTATACAGAATGTGTGTGTGCATGCTTGGTTTGCTGCCTGATGACTGATCAGTGTGGAGCACTGGAGCATTAGAGAAGCAAGAGCTATTTCTCCCTTTTGTTGCACTGCTCCTGGAATGGAGGGACTCACTTCTCCGCTTGCAGGATGAGGCTCACTGTTCCCTCCTTCAGGTCAAAGATGAGCGGAGTATTCCAGTTCCTTGAGCTGGCACAAGTGAACAGCAGAAAAACACACAGTAAAATCTGTGAAAACACAAAATATCTAAGAGCATAGCTCTAAATCTGGTAGGAGTCCAGAGGTGAGAAGACCAGAGAGACGAGGCCAAGAACAGAACAGGGTAGAAAACTAGATAAAGGCAATGTCAATGTGAGATAAGTCTACAGATAGATCAGGCACTAATACAAATATGACGACACAAATACAGTAAGTAAAGTAAAAAGGACACTAACACATACAGAGGGTCACCAGATAACATTAGACTAGTAAGAATCAGCAGTTTAGTAAGATGTCCTTGTTCTTCTAATTCTTTGATAAAATGTATCTGATCTACACAGCATAGAATCTCAGTGTATCTCATCTGCTTCTGAAGATGATCCTCAGGATTTGCTCTATAGGTGTAAAATACGTGTTCATCTGTTGCACAAGATCCTGATATAAAAAGAAGAAATATAAATTCATAATATGTGAATGTTCAGTCCAGTGTGAACATAAAATCAAGAGGACCACTGGAGACATGCAAAGGAAGAGTGTTCTACTGACTTGTAGACATAGCACTGGAGGGAAGTGGCGACCACAAGGTGACCGTATGCCAGGGAGGTTTTGATAACTCGATCTCGGAACTCGAGTACGTCCAATGCATCGTTCATCACATTCCTGACCTGAGGAAGAAGAAGGACGGGACAGGAGGGAGCGAGGGGGGGGGGTAGAGAGGAATAAATCTCTCAGTAATGAACTTTATACTACGGGACAAACACTTTACATTGCGACACGCAAACAATGAAGGGAAGACGCTGGCTTTCCTAACGGAGGGCTGAACCTAGTCACGTACACATGGGAGAGTATTTATTCCTAATGTACACAGGAAACAGTCTACAGTACGTCCAAGGGTCTGCAGAGCCACTGTGGTCGGATGAAGCTGCTTCTACTGTTTTAGGCTTGTGAGTGTGGGCTGGTTGGTACTCATTTTTTTTCACCTGCATAGATAAATACTTCCCTCCACCTCGCTCTGTAAATGAATGAAACGGCTTTCTCCAGCACCAGGTGAAAGGTGGGGTTATTTTTACAGCTTTACAAATCGTCCTATTCTGCAGGCCACATTTACATGAAACACAACCAGGAATAAAAAACATTTGACCGCGAGGTGGTAAATTTAGCTGGCTGATTCACAAACCACTGGCAGATGTGCACTTTTAAAAGAGGACCGCTATAAGGGGAGAGGGGGCAGAGGGAGACAGAAAAGTGCCTGCGAAGCAAAAAAATAAATGGCTGATGACCCAACTTTGTTTGGTTTACACAACCTCCACTTGGTAAAGATGTCTGTGTAGGCACACATGTATGTGTGTGACCTTGTAACTGTAAGTGTGTGTATATATATATATATATATATATATATATATATATATATATATGTACATTTGGGCGTGTTAACCGCATGAAAACTCTACAGCAGGAGTATAAACAGTAGAGAATGGCGGAGCGAGAGAGGCAGCGAGACAGGCTGGTCATTGTCATTGCAGGGCTGCACGCTGGCACACAGGGAGGGTCCTACTTCAATATATAGCATTTGCTTCACCACATGGCATATTCACTCCCCTCTTTACAGGCCTGCCCATGGCACTGCAATACGTCTTGTCATGCCGATATAAACCAAGTTTGGCAATGTTAATGTTTGAGAATCTATCAGTCGTCGTCACGGAAACACTGATTTTCAGTGATGTTTGTTTGAAAACCTTTGACGTGTAAAAACACGACAAATTATACGACGGACCGAGACTCAATGAATGAATCAATGAATCAAGCTGGATTCCTCATGCGTGGGCGTACAAGTTCACCATCAGTCTAGTTGAAAAGTATTTCTGTTATTGACAGTTCAGAACGACATGAGTCACCGAGACCCTAGACAAGTCTATATTGACTATATGACATCTATACATATATATATATATACTCTCCTGAAGGTCAAAACGTAAACGTCGAAGTGTGTTGGTGTCTGTGGCTCTCTTTCTACCTGCATGGTTCTCCGCTTGGTAAGGGTGATCACAAAGTTCTTCCACTCCCAATGCTGCTCCACCACGTGGGCAAAGATGACCTGCCCGTTGCCACAGGCCCCGGCCAGCTGTGTGCCGTCTGCGGACCAGGCCAAGCTGAACACACTCCCTGTGTTGGGCTTCTCCAGTGCGTAGGACCACTGCAGGGAGGGGGCGAGGGGAGAAAGTGAACAATGGAAACGAGAGAGAGAGAGATAGAGACAGAGAGAGAGAGAGTAGAACACGGTTAATGGCCACAGAGCGTTATCTCGGATTTTAAATAATTATCTGGGAGGCAGCTTAGGAACTCCAAAACGATGACAAGTTTAGAGAAGAGAAGCGATGACATTCGGGGGGGTTGTGTGTGAGGGAGTGCGCATGCACGTAATGTAAACTCCGCTAGAAAGACGGGGGCCCAGTCAGTCAGTCATTGCGCTGTGATGAACTGTGAGACACTGAAGTAGCGCGAGGCCCTGCCAAGTCCGGCACTCGCACTCGTAAACATACACTCTGCTATACTCGTCTATTGCATACACGGGGGGCAGGGGGACCCCGTGTACGCCAAAAGCTGATTAACCTCTCCCCTCTTTCTATAATAAAAGCTTTGTGATAGGACTAGCAGACGCACAGTAATTGAAGGAGGACTTTTATTCCTATCCGCTTCATGACCATAAGTGATGGTGAACGACACAACTAAGAAATGTCCCTTAACAGCATTTAAGAGAAGTAAACCGCTCTTCTTTTTGGATTTTACTGAGGTATCCCTTTTCTCTATATGTAATCTTTTTTTCTGTTTCCAGTACTTTCTCCATCTCCCCTCTACTACCTTTCCACACTCGTGTCCCTCCGGACTTCTGCAGTTGAGTATAACAACACAAACAAAGAAATGTCGAGCTTTGATTCAACACAAATCAGTAGACACTCTGGCTTCACCGGCAGCTTCAGGTTTTTAGATTAGCAGACCGACGTGGACTAAGAAAGTCCTCCTCCTACCAATTGTTGTGTTACACTGTGCACACCTGGAGTCTTTCTGTTACAACCACTGCGGACCGCGTCACATGATATCCCCCCTTTTTCCCCCACCCCCCACCACTGCTTTGAGTCGTCCGTGATCTTTCACACAAATACATGCAGTCACACTGTAAACAGCTTACGAAGGGAGAAAGGTGCTAACGTTAGCCGAGTGCTGCCTGCAGCGGGACGCAGCAGGCCAAGTGGTGCAGTAAAGTTTGGAGTAAAAGCCCCAGTGTGTCTGGTGCCTCATACACGTTCAGCTGCAGGACGTGAGGTGTGAGGTAACAGTCGGCAGGCTACAGGTTACAAGCTCGCTACTTGGATCTCTCCCCCTCCTCCCGGTCGGCCTCACGCTGTTGAGGCGGTTTTGGTCAGCACCCTCCCAGTAGTTAATGTCACATAAGGACCCTCAAATAGAAGACCTGTGCAGCCAGGACAAACAACATTTTGTTAAAGTTCAATTAATTGCTATTCAACTTCTTTTCCCTACCTGCATTTTATTTTGATCATTTCTGCACCGCCCACACACGTAATCTTTCTCTAAACCTCATCTATGCTTTAGCGAACATCTTGAGATGGCCTGCTGCGTTAACGCACCCTGGGGGGGAAGAGGAGAGGGGAGAAGTGGGGGAAAGAGGGATGGATAGATGGAGGGTTAGAGATGCAGCTGAATGTATACACCAGACAGTAATGAAGCAAGACATATGATATCAGCCCGAGGAGCACTGCTGGATCCATGCTTACCTAATGCTTTAAACACATTGAGCCATCCGACTCCTTCTAGAAGCAGCCGGCAAGTGAGAAAGTGTGTGGTAAGGTGGGGGGTTGTCTTTGCAGTTAATTATGCACATACTATATACATGTCTGTTGTTGGTATGTGTGTGTGACGGAGAGTTTAATGAGGAATATAAAATGCAATTGAAAGAATTTAAGGAAATAAGATAACACCACGTTAGATGATTTGATGTGTGTGTAGTCAGGGGAAAATAAAGAGTTTTGTTTTTCTGTTCACCCTTTTCATGAGTGTCCGATGTCTGTTTGAAAGGTGTGCATGCGTCTAAAAGGGGTGAAAATAGGAGTTGTCAGCCAGTGTCTGACGATGGGACACACAAGGATTCCTGTAGCTCTCCCAAGTTGGACAGACTGATTCAGCAGAGAAGGAGAAACCCAGGACACAAAGACCTTTCCCAGAGCAGCACATGTTTTGACGTTTTTTTTTGCATCTTTTTACTTGGATCTACATTTCATTAATATCCTCTCTCTTCGTAAGTGAAGGATTTAGATGTTCTGATAGCGGACTACTGGCAAACTGGTCAAAGCAGAACAGGCACATCCTGTCCTCTGTGGGCTGAACCTCTGTTTCTTTTGCTATATATGTATATATATATATATATATATATATATATATATATAAATAAAATATACACACATACACACACAGGTAAGCTGATGACATGCTCAGTACCCAGCGTAGATATTTTTATATATGGAGAGACAGATTACACAGCAAGATGAAAGAACACGCAGAAGTGCAGAAAGACATACGTGAAGGCGAAAATGATGATTTAGGGGGGGCTGTGGAAGGTGGGTCTGGAGTCCACTCTGGGGTCATTGAACCATGGATGTCTATAATGGCAGCTTTGTGGCCAGAGAGAAGGTGGCAGACATGACGTCTAGTTCTCAGCTGAGCTCAGTGGGAGAGAGGGGGAGACCTCTCAAAAGTAAAATGAGCTTATACACGCAGACTATGTATGTACATGTAACCGCAATGGCTGCACATACACACTCCAAACTAGACAGAAACACACACACATGCACTTGTGTCAAAGACATGGCAGGAGACAGAGGCTGGTGGTCAAACAGTTGTGATGCTCCCGAGCGCAACGACTACACATGCACACTGTGTTTTGAAATGTGTGTGAAAATGGGACTCACACGCACAGACGTTGGTTTTATATAGACGACAAACCCTGGAGTGCTGGATTGGTCAAATTACACTGTCGGATACTGATTTGATGATGCTGCTCTGACATTAACCAAGTCACTATCTAGATTTGATTTTGTTTTTAAGTGATGATCCAGAGACTCTGGCGTGCAGCATGCACTCTACAATAGAACGACCTTTTTCACCTGGCAAGTGAAGCCACTGCTGAAGTGTCTCAAATGTCCATTCGCTCCACTGACCAGCAGGAGGCCAAATCCTCCGGTTACCAAACAAAGTCAGATTGTTTCAAAGTCTGTGAAAATGACACTAGTTCTCACCTGATTAAACATTGTAGACAAGTTCATGACCTTAAATGCAGCTTTTTTTCTGTTCATTTTGTAAACCGTTGGAGGGTAAAATAGACATTAAAACAAGGAATGCTTTAGGGTGGAACAACCACAACACTAACCTGCCAGAACCAAATACTGCGGCCGTCGCTACATCACTTCTCCACAGTCCAAATATGGTCAATTCTGTACACTATTTTAGCAAAATGTCACCTTTGTGAGGTTTGATTCAATGACGGAGGATATAGCCTTTATACATCTTTGGAGCAGACAAACAGAAACAAATGAAAAGAGGAAGGAAAATACAGGTAAGCTGATGATATGCTGCTAGGGGAAATGAAAAAGTTAGCAAGGCTAGCTACCGCACATTACAAGGCCTTTAGAGCGCCACTTAAGGATAAGGATGCCGTATTGGACCAAAACATGTGACAACTAATGACAACTCGTTTATCTGTGTTTCTATGGTGGGGTTGGACCGTGAAACTGTTATCCATGAAGCCTTTTCCATTCAATGCTGACAAGTCTAAACCTACATGGTCGTCTTTCTTTGGAGTAAATGAAAATGTAGACTTCATTTATAATTTGGCCTTTGTAAAATGCGTCGTTATTCTTCTGTACGTTGATAACATCAGCGAACCAGTAGCACGATCTTAACGTAGGCAACCGTATTTACTGACGCTCAGGGCGCCAACAAGTTCAGAAATGCAGGCAGACAAAAAAACATTCTGCAGATTGTTGCGCACACAGATGCACACAAGCACCCCAAAGCACAGTCCATTTACGAACACTAGGCCTCCTTGGTGCCTCTTTAAGGAGTTTACCGGCCTTCTCCCTCCTCCCTTGCTTCTGCTCACTCTCTCTCCATTTTCTTGACATATGTTTACCATTAAGACTGGCAGGTGTTGTGGGCCTGCCCCTTCTCTCGATTATTGCCCCGCAGCTGCAGCCAACATGGGGAGGCCTGCAAAAAGGTTTACGTAAAAAGGTAACTGAACGGCAACTTCGTACTTACTTAAACTTGTTTCCAAAGGGACAACTATCCCCTCTATATCAGTTCAAATAGCTCTGCTATAACTTGTTTTTGTATCACCTTACAAATGAAAGGTTTGCACAAGCCGTCTATTTATCGTGAAAATGCTCTGGATCCCTGGATCCTCGAAAAGTGGCTGGTGGAAGCTTTAAAGTCGTGTTCTTTCCACAGAGCAGCAGGTGTGTTCCACTTATGTATGTAAATGACAATGCACCGCAGCATTGAAAACCTAAAACCAAAGGGAAGGTTTTCACCTTTCCAAAGAAACTTAATATGACAACTGCGGAGTGTAAGTTTCATATAGATTCGATTTTTAGTGGAGAAATACGCTGAAAACTATCAATCCCCCTATTTTGCTTGGAATATGAAAAACCGACTGAAACAACAGACACAGCACAAGCAAAAGCTATCTGGAAAACAAAGCACTGAAAACAAGAGCAGCGCACAGAGTGAAAAGGGAGTAGGGAAAATATTAGAAACAAAGTCAAAGAAGTAAAGTGTGTATCCCTTTTCCACTACTCTCCTTCTGCACTACCTGAAACAGTGCTCCGGTCTTGCTGGTCCGGGGTGAGGAGAAGGGGGGCGGAGGGGGGGGCTTCGGCCAGGGAAAGGGTTAATGACACATGTCTGGACTAATGGCTCCCGGTGGAGCTATCTGCTGATTCAGCCCCATTACTTCACGAGCATTAAATATGTCTGCTCTGACCGCTCCCTGTCCCTCCCCCCCCCGATGCAAGTCAACAAATGCTAATCAGAAGGGGGCATGACATTGCCAGACTCTCAATGCTTTTCTCAAAAGCATCTATGAAAAAGACTTGTACAGTCATTAGTGTTATGGGAATCAAA